CAGACAGACAGACAGACAGACAGACAGACAGACAGACAGACAGACAGACAGACAGGCAAACAGACAGACAGGCAGGCAGACAGACAGACAGAAACAGTGACAGAAAAAGGGAGAGAGAGGGGGATAGCAAGACATATATATATATATAGATAGACTGGGGATATGAGAAGAAACTACGTTGACAGTATAATAGGAATGTCGTTTTCCCGTCATTTTATCAACGGTGTAAACGAAAGTGGAGAAGAATATTCTTTCACACTAAATATAAACTACAAACTATATATAGATCCATTCCAACAAAAGTTTTGTGAATTCCATTGTGAAAGCAGAACAGTTGCAAGATCCGCAAAACGTAAAAAAAAAAAAAGAAAGCAGAGCCAGATCTACCAATTAGGGCTCTCCACTTACAGAAAAGAAAAATGGTCACTCAGGAATGGGGGCGTTGGATAAGAGACTTAGACTAATCACATAGTGGCTACGGCTTCCTTATATCTAGTGCAAATCTCCTTCTGGTCTGATTTACTCGAATGGCTTTGCGTTGGTGCTCATTGTATTATCAGACTGACTTCTACTTGGCTTCATCCGATTTGTCCCAAAGTCCATAATATTAATTAGCGTCTATCGCATTCCGTGTGCAAACAAAAGGCAGTTTAATATACGAAACTTTCTGCAATGTGCACTGGGTATTAAAATTCAGGCCAGGGTGCATTTATGCGATTCAAACCGCAAAATTCTGCCTGATTAGTAAAATGAATGACAGCAGAATACGGTGGTCTGGTCAGATACAATGTACACAACACGATCCGGCCGTTCAGAATTAAGACAAGTTTGTCTTTCTGGGTTCATCTCGGGCAAACTTGAAGTAGCAATTGCATAATGTATACTCAGAAAACTGGTACAAGTCAATGAGACCCCCCCTTTCAACTCCTTTCCTGTTCTCTAACCATGTTCAGTCGTCTGCTTCCGTCTCCATTTTCTGTCCCCCCCCCCAAACCCCCCATGCTGGAGTCACTTGACTTGACACGCACATCCAGCTATGTCTCCACTCTCCGTGGGGACCATATTTTTGGGTCGCTAAGATGTGATTTGTGATTCGCCACAGACGCGTCTAATTTTGAAAATGGGGGTCTAAATAATTTATTTTAGCCAGAAAAGGGATAAAAGTCAATAAAAGGCATGCACCACCCCCCTTCCTGCTTGATTAATAAACAGTCTAACTTTCCTAGCGCGAAGCTCAGTCTAAAGCTCAATCCCTGGAGCAGTAACGAATTATGGAATTTTCACATTTTCAGCATCGTTCTTTCGATTCGTACAATACACATGTTGAAATAGTGTTTTAATTTGACAAAAGACCTCCTTTGAGCAGCTCGTTTTTGTCATCCGATACAACGAATCGGATAAGAATTCACTTCTTTTCACCGAAACGACAAACAAG